ATAAGCAAAAAGAAAAAAGCCGGAGTGGCGCTGTGGCTCAAGTGGTAGAGCGCTAGCCTTGAGCTGAAGAGCTGAGGGACAGCATCCAGGCCCAGAGTTCAGACCCATGACCGGACCCCCCCCCCAAAAAAAACTTCCTTCTAAAACAAGAAATCAGTTTTTTTTCAGTATTCAAAGTGGTATCAATTTCCTCAAAATTGTCTGAGCAACACGTTTATGTTCTACAGGCCAAAGTACTGTAACATGGGTTAAACAGCGAAGACCTGTAAGCATGAGTTCCAAAAGTTGAATAGTTGTAAGTTCAGAACTACCTTCAAAACCTGGAAAGTCTGTTACAATGTACAGACAAAGAAACAATACCCTAACCCCTCACAACTTCACCACAGCAAGTGCTAATAACTGTTTGTGAATGAAGGAGCTGTTGGTAAATATACTGCTTACCTATTGCTCTTTAGTAATAACTCAAACTTTTGAGTCTCAGGAATTCCTTTATACTCTTAAAAGTTATTGAAGACTACCTAAATCTTTTATTTCTGAGAGTTGTATCAGTTATTACCATTTTAAATTAAGGTAGAAATGTTTAAAGCATAAGAATTTTAATATATTCCATAAGCCATTAAATGATATGTTACATTGCCTGTGGGAGAGTCCACTGTACACTCATGAGGAAATTAGAGTGAAAAAATAGTGTCTTATTACTGTTTTTAAAACATTTTTTGCACAGGGCACTGGTGGCTTATACCTGTAATCCTCTCTACTCTGATGGCCAAGATCTGAGGATTGTAGTTCAAAGCCAGTCCAGGAAGAAAAGTCCAATTAACCACTAAAAACCAGAAATGGAATTGTAGCTCAAAGTGATAGTGTCCTAGCCTAGAGCAAAAGAGCTCAGGGACAGTGCCCAGGCCCTGTATCATGGAAGAAATACAGAGTTCAAGCCCCACCACCACTACCAACAACAACAAAAAATCATTTTCACTTTATGACACTCCCAGCTTGCTCAGAGACCCCCCCCATGTGTTCCCAGGCCACCCTCTGAGAACTGCCATCTTGAGCTCACCAGTTACTAAATGGGTAGGTAGCATTTCCTCTGAGCTAATGTTCCTCAAATAATACAATAAGGCAATGGAATGCTGAATGTAGTCGTGAATAGCAATGCAATGGAGCCAGGCGGCATGGATCCCAAGCCCAAGTAGATCTTGGCAAGTTGAACAGTGGAACCAATAATAACTACCTATGTAGATATTATGATGTTTCAATTAGGTATTATGATGTTTCAGCCCTGTATTTCCTCTGTAATACAAGAAGACATATAAATTACCAAGATTGAAAAGAAGATTACAAAAATCAGTAATGTGCTTCAAGTATTTAAAATGAGTGGGCAGCACAATATTGCAGTATGTGAGGGTCAATCATTATTTTTTCTCTGTTCTCGTCATCATTGTTTAAAACTGTCAGAGCTCTCCTTGTTTCGTAAGAGGCATTTTGTAAGATCACTAGTATAAAGAACTTGAGGAGTAGATATGCTTGGTTGAATCCTGTTGAGTAAGATATGTGTTAGTTGCTTACATATAAGTGCTTTATAAATATTGTGTGAGTTAATTTACAAACTAATCTGAAAATCTCTTCTTATCACCACACAATAATAGCAAAAGTAACTGGCTTGCTGAAGAGTAAATGCTGTCCCCTTGCATTGGCCAAGACATTTTTGAGACTGAAAGGGAAGGCTGTTAAGTACACTGGACAATAAAGTTGATGCTATCCTGAACAAACCAGATAAAATAAATTTAAGAGATTTGTATATGTTACATATCATTATCATTATGTAAAAATTGCTCTTTCTTTCCTCATTCTTGTAGTTGTGTCAGTTCTGTATTTCCTCCATGATACAGCAAGGTATACAAATTATTCAGATTGAAGACAAGACTACAATCATCAATAATACACCATATCAAATATTTTATAAACCACAGTTATCTGTCTCTAATCCCCATTCTGGAAAGGAGGTAAGCCATTCATAATATGGTTGTTTTGTCTACATTTTTATAAATCAACAAATAGAATTAACTTTTTCAGTCTAGTGCAAAGAACAAAGTGAACACAGTATAGGTAATATAGTGTTAGTAATTAGATGCTGTAATTCAACCATGTATGGCCTGGCCAGTGCCTCCAGGTAATTAATGAGCAGAAATCCTAGGCAGCAGATCCTGACACATTGTTAGATTAGTTCTGTCACCACTGCATCTGCTTACATTATCTAGCATTAACCTTTTTTTTTTTTTTTTTTGGTCATGGGCTTGAACTATGGGCCTAGGTGCTGTCTTTAGCTCTTCAGTTCAAGGCTAGTGCTCTACCACTTGAGCCACAGCACCACTTCTGGTTTTTTGTGGTTAATTGAAGAGTCTCACCCACTTTCATGCCTGGGCTGACTTCAATCCTCAGACCTCAGCCTCTTGAGTAGGATTACAAGCATGAGTCACCAGCACCTGGCTAGCATTAACTTTTTGTTACTCTAGAAGATTCTCTAAACCTCAAGTCCTGTGGCTTGCAAGGCAGATGTTTTTCATGCAAATTAGAAGCCACAGGACTTGAGGAGTGAAGTGGACCAAGCGTTAGGACTGAACTGAACCCCAGTCTGCCAGCTTTATGTCCATGAGAGTTATAATGTGAAAATGTACCAGCTCATTTATCTTGACATCTCAGTGACAGGATATACATTGAACAGTATTCACAAGGATTTTTTACTTGGTTTTTTTGTGCAATTAAAATGAATAGTTATATTTAAGAGAAAATGGAATGCTACTGTTTCATGCTATCAAACTATCATATAGGAGGGCTGGGAAGGTGGCTCAGTGGTAGAGTGCTTGCCTTGCATGCATGGGTTTAATTCCTTAGCACCACATAGGCAGAAGAAGCTGGAAGTGGCGCTATGGCTCAAGTGGTAGAGTGCTAGCCTTAAGCTGAAGAGCTGAGGGACAGCGCCCAGGCCCAGAGTTCAAGCCCCACAACTGACCAGAAAAAAAGAGGGAGTGGCTGGGAAGGTGGCTCAGTGGTAGAGCGCTTGCCTTGCATGCATGAGGTCCTGGGTTCGATTCCTCAGCACCACATAAGCAAAAAGAAAAAAGCCAGAAGTGGCACTGTGACTCACGTGGTAGAGCACTAGCCTTGAGCTGAAGAGCTGAGGGACAGTGCCCAGGCCCAGAGTTCAGGCCTTAAGGCCGACAAAAAAAAAAAAAATGACACACAAACTATCATATAGGAAAGTATTGTCTTTCTGTGCCTTTGTCTGCAGTTATTATGTCTCATATTTTTAGGTCCTAAAAATTATAGTAGAATAATCAAATAGGATTAAAGTTTTATACTTTTTGCCTTGAAACCTGTGTGGTATTTACAAAATCCAGAATTTTATTCTGGATTACTGAAATATCAATAAAAGTAAACATTGGTTATCCAGATGGAAATAGATCATTGCCGTCTACATCGTAGGTGAGGACTAGACAAAGGAACTGGCATGTGCGCTAGTGATCTTCCTGCTTGTCCCTACTCCAGAGCCTCCTGAAAATGAAAGGCTGGGTTCAAAGGTTTTTATTTTCCTCCTTTATTTACAAAACTACTGATGCCAGAAGGTTAGAAATACAATGTACAGGGGAGGATATAATCCAAATCACAAAGCAGTAAGTGGCAAAGCCCAGCCCAAAAACAGTTTTTCTGTTCATGGGTTTGGGATTGCCCCAAACCCCAGTCTCTAGACCTCTACCTCTTGAGTAGCTAGGATTACAGGTGGGAGCCACTGTGCCTAGTGTTTTAAAACACCCTACCTCTATTAGTATGCCCAGAAAAAAACACACTGTGGGCTGGAGTTGTGAATTAAATGGTAGAAAGCTTGCTAAACATTCATGAGACCCTAGGTTCCATCCCCAGTATTGAAGGGAAAAATATGAAGTTCAATTTCCTGCATCTGCATTGTGGTAGTAAATATGCTCTCTCTTACTTATCTTTTTTTTTCCAGTATTTTCATGTTCCAGACAGTGCTACTTTCAGTATTTGCCCGGGTGAGGAGCAGTCTGCTATGAAATGCAGCTCTCTTCCTTGTTGGGATTTCATGCCTGACATTGGGTCATCAGTGTGGGATGTATCCCTTCTTCAGAAACAGATCTTGCTGGGCTTTTGCCCTACAGCAGATGCTGACAGCTCGCAGTGCTGGAGCCTACCAGCTATAGTTAAACAAGAGTTTCCCAGACAAAGCGTGGCAGTGCCCTTTGGGAACTTAAGGGAAAATGGATTCTGTTCCAGGTATTTGACATAAATGTGAATGCCCTTCTTTGCTTGTTGAAGTCAGTGTTCATCCTCAGGCCAAAAGAAGCAGGAGGTTGGCTGCAGTGCGCCATAGATGTAATGCTAGGCTTTCCTTGATCTCTAATGACTTCTGGATGTTGTGTACAGTTGGTTGCATGTCATGATCACAAATAGTGTGTCCCAGTGTACTGCTTATAAGATTTGTTCCTTTTCCACCTCTATGCTAGGGGGAAATGATGGTGCTCATACTGTTATAGCAGCAGTACATTGTAATGAGAGGACTCACCTTTATTTTTAGGAGTTCTTTTGTAAAATGGTGACATGGAAAGGCTAACGTATGTTAGTTTTGACAATCTGTATGTGTAATTTAGAGTGAATTTTTTTTATGTCCATGCAATTATTTAACTCCAAGTAATACAGCTTTACTCTTTATGGAAAAATGTGATACCGTAAAGTATGATCATATTGTGAAAGTTGGCAATAAGCATTATGTATATGGTTAGAATGAAAAAAGAACAAGAACCCAAATTCTCTCCATGTCCATATAAAAGCAGTTCAGGTTCTTCGTTATCCAGATTTACCAGGGGAGAGGAACGTATGTGTCTGAAGAGTTTGAGGCAAAAGAACAGCAGGCAAGGTAGTTTTAAGTCAACTATTGTTTGCTCCCATTGCTACAGTTATGGTTTTATCTTTGAAATAATTTTATCATTCTATGTTTTGAGAGAAATACATATTACTATTATTGTTAAAAATCAATAAACTCACAGTTCACATATGATAACTAATAAATAAGGAGAAAGCCTCCATTACTGGAAAATATTTCCTGAATCATAATAAAAGGGAGGTATTTAGAGTTAAGAATATGCAAACCCAAGTAAATGTGTATTTTTTTTCCTAAACTATGCCTACCATTTGATTTGATTCTGTTCCAGGGCTATAGCACTGACATACCAAGAACACTTTGGAGTGACTTACTTAACCCTCTCAGAAGACCCCAGTCCTCGAGTAATTTTTCACAACAGATGTCCAGTAACATTGCTTATAAAGGAAAATATTAAAGGTATTTATGGAACTGAATTTGAGGAATATAAAAACATATTCTTTCTTGAGGTTCTCAATTTAGTAGATACTTGTGATCCTGTAAAGAATGTTTAAATAAAAGTTTGTATCTGGGCCTCAGTGGCTGACACCTGTAATCCTAACTACTCAGAAAACTGAGATCTGAGGATCATGGTTCAAAGCAGCCTAGGCAGGAAAGTCCATGAGACTCTTCTCTCCAATTAGCCACCAGAAAGCCAGAAGTTGCTCAAGTGGTACAGTGCTAGTAGCCTTGAGTTCAATGAACCCAAGACCAGCACACACAAAAAAGAGTATGCATCCTTTTCTGAGTAGTCTGTTTCATGTATGCATTTTTTACATTTCAGATACTCCAAAGTTTGAAGTTTATTGCAGAAAAATTCCTTTTGAGAGTTCAATGCATCATGAGCTATATCATCATATTTCCAGTTATCCAGATTGTAGGACCAAAGATTTACTTCCTAGTCTTCGTTTGAGAGTAGAATTGCTGGAAGAAATAACAACTGAATGGAGTGACGCCATTGATATCAACAGTCAGGGAACACAGGTTAGTGAACCACATGGGTTCCTGCTAGACCAAAGAATAATTCCCTTGTCTACATTCTCATTGATTGTTTAAGTATTATTATTATTACTATTATTATTATTATTTATTTGGTCAGTCATGAGGCTTGAACTCTGGACCTGAGCACTGTCCCTGAACTTTTCAGTTCAAGGTGAACACTCTACCACTTGAGCCACAGCACCACTTCTGGTTTTCTGGTAGATAATTGGAGATGAGAGTCTCACGGACTTTTCTGCCAGGGCTGGCTTTGAACCGTGATACTCAGATCTCAGCCTCCTGAGAAGCTAGGATTACAGGTGTGAGCCACCAGCACCCAGCTTAATTATATATATATACATAATATATGTATAATATACATATAATATATATCAATATTATATCATATATTATGTAATAAATATTTTTAAGGCTGAACTCGTCTCTATCAGAAAGTAGCACTCGGAAAAATGAAACCATTTCAAATCTAGTAGACATCAAAAGTGAAACAAAATTGTTACACTTAGTAGTTCATGCCTGTAATCCTAGCTACTAAGGAGGCTGAGATCTGAGGTCTGTGTTTGAAGACAGCCCAAGCAAAAAAGTCCATAAAATTCATAATCTCCAATTAACCACCAAAAAAAACTGGAAATAGAGCTGTGGCTCAAGTGGCAGAACACTAACCTTGAGCAAAAAATCTAAGGGACAGGGCCCAGATCCTGAGTTCAAGTCCTATGACTAGCACACGCACACACACACACACACACTCTTGTCAGACTTCTTTATATAAAAGGTAGTCCAGCTGTCCAGATTTTAGAATCATTATGTCAACCCTAGATTAATTCCCTGTTCTGAAAGCATAACATTTTTAAAATATCTGTACTAGTAATCCATAAAGCCCTTCAAATATAATCTTAAAAAGCTAAATTGGTTTCTATGTCACTGAGTTACTAGTATTGCTTTTGTGGATAAAAATGCACATGAATCTAGTATTTCTTTTTTTGCTGTACTTAAATTTTACTACTTATAAATTTTAATGATTACTACTTGTAAATTTCAATGGAAATTTAATGACAATTCAGTGTCATTAAATATGTTTACTGTTAATATTTAATGTTGCCTAACCATCACTATTAGGTTAGTCAGTTTTCCATCTCTGTGACAAAAGTACCTGAGAAACTTAGCTCAAAGGAAGAAAGATTTATCTTTAAATAATAAATTGTTAAATAAAAAATAATGTTTCAGTCTACGGTAAACTGTCCCCATTCTCTAATTGTGCAAGCAGAAGCATTATGGGGAAGGGCATGGCTAAGGAAACCTTCTCACATCATGGCAGGAAGGGACTGGAGACCATTTACACCCTTCAAAGATAGCCCCCAGTGTCCTACTTCTTCCAAGTAGTTCCCATCCCCTAATTACGCATTCAGCTATGAGCTATTTTACCAATGGGTTAATCCATTCATGAAGTTAGTGCCCTTAAGATCCAATGACTTCTCAATAGTTCCACCATGTGCAGACCAAGATTTCAACACATGAAGTTTTGGAGCCATTTTTTAAAATCTAAACCATTAATAGCCACTATCCATTTTATTATTCTAAACAGAAACTCTAAACACACCTTCCCCTTCCTTAATCCTAGTAGACTCTGTGTGCTTTCTGTCACTAAATTTGCTTACTTCTAAGCATCTCAGATAAGAGAAATAATAAAGTATTTGCACCTTTGTATCTGAGGCTTTTTTTTACTTTCTAAATTATGTTAAAGGCTCACTGCATGAGTCTTAAAGTTAGTCATTTTATGTCTGAATAATATTGTGCTATACTTTTAAAAAGTTATTTCACATACATTCACATAGTCTTCACAATAAGCTTATGAAATAGAGTCCAATGTTATAATGCTATAAATCACATATTAGTCATACTAAAAATAATAATAAGCATTGATTATCATTTAGTAATCACTCTGTGCCAGATTTTGTGCTAGCTGTGCTAAATTCAGTCTCCTCTAAGTTTGATAATAGTCATGTAAGTTAGAATTCCCATGAACCTTAAGAGAAAGGTCTAAGGTAGATCTCAATCTTCCTGCATCCAGCACCCATTCTCTAAGACACTGGGCTGTGCATGGTTCTCTTTCATTTGGAATCCTTGGCCCTTCTCTTTCCTTGTCCTCCAGCATATTCTTCCTTATTTCAAGATGTAGCTAAAGCCCCTATAACCATCTCTGTGTGTTCATATAACATTTGTACCTTTAATTATCTTTTTTTTCAGCATTGGGGATTAACCCAGGGATTCACACTTGCCAAGCTAGCACTCTACCATTGGAGCCATGCCCACAGCCCTTTTGCTTGTGTATTGTTTGTATATTGTCTCTCTTAACTTTGTCCAATCTGACCTTGAATTTGTGATCTTTCTACTTCTGTTTCCCTAGTAGCTGAGATTACATGCTTATAACTGTACTTCTTTAGGTTATCTTCTACTACATCAAGATTCCTGGAAGTGGTTAACCATATTTATCCATAGCATAGTGGTGAGTAATTAAATAAGATGAGATTGCTAAAAGTCTATAAAGAAGAGCAAGAGAGTCACAGATACCTAGAGAAACTTCAGCTTGCAAACATAAAGCAGCAAAATAGATGAGGAAAAGCACCTAAATGATAAGAGGAGGGCTAGATAGGAAGAGGAGAACCATTGAGAGACTAATCAATAATGATGAGAAATTGTAAGTGCAGAATGAGCCGAAATGAGAGAATGGAGGGGCAAGTTTAAATTGTTCTTTTAAGGAATGTGACCATAAGAAAATGAGATCAGTGTGGAGGAAGTTCTTTACATGGTAATGGAAAGAGGCCAGACAAGAAGAGCAGGAAAAAAAAAACAAAACATAGAGTCATTGAAGAAGAAAGAGTCACTCCCATGTCTCTGACAGAGGAAAGAAGACAAGGATGAGCACAGCTGCAGATAGATGTGTGGAGAGAGATAGGGGTAGGAAATTCAGTGACTTGGTTCTCAGTAGCCTGATGTTTATTAATTTATGCCAGTTCTGGGGCTTGAACTCAGGGCTTGGGCACTGTCCCTGAGCTTCTTTTGCTCAAGGCTAGCACTCTACCACTTGAGCCACAGCACCATTTCTGGCTTTTTCTGTTTATGTGGTACTGAGGTGTGGAACCCAGTGTTTGATGCATGCTAGGCAAGCACAGTCCCAGCCCCTGGAGTTTATATTTAAAGTGGAGAATGAATAATCTGCTAAAGTAAGGAAAGAGGGAGGGAATGAAAGCCTGCTTTTGAAGTAGACAGTCTGCCCAGCATATCATTTCCACAGCAATGCTCATATGATGGTCATTGAAAATCTGCTGGGTCTGTGCAGCGTTGAGAAATGTCCCTCGTCTTGTTAATTTACAAAATAAATACTGTAAGCTTCTCAAGTGTTCCTGGACTCCCCTGCACTGGGTTGAAAACTTGCTTATATATCACTAGACCCTTCTTTACAATAGGCATCTTGCCTCCCAAGCTATATTTGGGGAGTTCCTATTCACTCTTAAGTTTCCTCAGACATTGGTAGTCAGAGATACTTCAAAGCCCCGGAGGGGTGCACTTTCCAACATTCCTCTTATCATCTGTGGACAGAGGACCCAGCAGAGGCTCATGGTCCCATTAATCTTTGAGGAGCTCTATGCCATATGTCCTGCAGACCATGGTGTACTTCCTCCTCTGGAAGATGTGTTTCAGACCCTCACCAACATCTACTCCTCAATAATACCCCAGGCGTATAAATCACTGGGGAGAGAAGGAGCTATGTCCCTGATGATAATCATATGAGACTTGTACATTGCAAACTACAGGAGCTGTGAAGGAATTAGCAGGTATCTGAGAGAGAGAACCATCAGCCATTGGAGAGCAAAGAAGTGTGTCTCTAGTTGAGAGACCTGGAATCTGTCTGTGTCTTTACAGACAAACAGGCCTCTAGAAAGAGGGTGGCCAAATTTTCTAGTCAGAACAAGCAACATGTTAAAGTTTCAGGGCTCAAGTAGGGGCATGTTCTTTTTAGGGCACAAAACATCAGTATGGCTGTTCTGTCTGATAAAAGACAGGAGGAGAGGAGACCTGTGAGGCAGAGAAAAAGTCTACCAAGCCCTTAGTATCCTGTAAGGATTGGCTTTTATCTTGAGTCACAGGAAATCATCAGATTGTTTATGAAAAGTACATTCTGAGCCACTGAAGGGGAATGATTAGTTAATTATCTCATTATGGCTGAATTTCCTTCTAAAAGGACCCGTAAATTCTCATGATCTTTGGTTCTTAATAGAAGTGTTTAGTACAGTCAACCTCACTGCTATTCTCAATGTGTTTGTATTTAGGAGACACCAGTTCATGTATATATAGCTCAGTACCATCTACAAAGTGCTTCCATTCTTTCATTCATTTGTTCAAAACATTTTATTGAAGATCTATCAAGTGCTAAACCCTTCTTCTCAAATAAGGTATAATTCCCACCTAAATAAATGGAGTAATGTGGTAAGATAGATACTAAGACAGAGCCATTGGTCATTGAAAAGCTTCTTTGTTTTTTCAGTTATGGGGCTTGAACTTTGGGCCTGGGTGCTGTCCCGCAGCTCTTCGGCTCAAGGCTATAGCACTCTTAACACTTGAGCCAGGGCACCACTTCCGGTTTTCTGGTGGTTTATTGGATATAAGAGTCTCACAGACTTTCTGCCTGGGCTGGCTTTGAACCATGATCCTCAGATCTCAGCCTCCTGAGTAGCTAGGATTACAGGCATGAGCCACCAGTGCCCAGCTAGCTAGCACATTGTTATTGGGCTTAAAAAGCCAACTGTTTAGCAAATCATATGATAAAAAACCTGAGGGGTTGTGGTCGACCACAAATTCAATAACAAGAAGTAGTCTGAACTTAAAGAGGTTTCACTTCTGTGGCTTGCTTCTATCCAGAGTCAGGTTGAGACCTAAATCTGCCCATGCAATCTCCCAGTCTTGTTTGTTTTTTCTACACCACGCTG